GACTTCCATATCATTCTTGTTTTGAATGTTGGTTATGCGTAGTTTTAGTTCATACGCGCATATAACATTCATCAAAGCTCAACCCTATCCACAAATGTCGTTCACGTGTTAAACTGGAAGATCTATTTTTTAGTAACAATTCACTTATTGTTCTTCATACTGCCTTCTTTTAACCCCAACCTGACCTGGCACAGACGAAATGTCCGAGATAAGCCGACTTTTTGAACTCTGGTTGCGAAACGTTCCGTTAATGAAGCCGCTTAGTCACTGGCGTGCCACTTTGAGACATTTCTTTCAGACTGTTTCTGATATGCCTTAACGACGACAACCAGCTCATAAATAATTATAGCCGACTGAACAGTAAGCGACCTCCTTCTGGGTATCTTGGATGCCTTAAGCTAAAAGAAAACACTCATTTCGAAAATACCATAAATTACCGTTTAATTTCGTCGACATTCACGAAACATTTTACATGTACTTCTTAAAGCTAAGAAAACTTTTAATCATGATTGTAGGATTGTCGTTAGACAATTTCCCCTGGAAGTGGTCTAGTTAAAAACTCCTGGACTCTATCGCAAACATTTTCGTTGCATGCTTGCTGAAATCTCCTTCTCAAATGTTCGGTTAGAACTACTGAAAGCGCGCGCCCATGTCCCGGTAAAGGTGACCCGATGGCTCTCGTCGGTCCTAGCACTGGACATTGCGAACTTACCGAGTGTGGCCGCGTCAACCTGTACTCGCCGAGCGCACTTTTACTGCGTCGAATAACTTCGGGGAATCTTAGGTTGTTTTCGTGAGATAACATTGATGACTGGCTCGACGGTCGCAAACTGATTCGTTCTCGTTTCTGTGATTTCAAGTTAAATTTCTCCGCTGACTCGGACGCACTACTGATGAGACGAGGCGACGATGGTTTACGTGGAGATGCCCAAACGTCGTGATTCTTTACCAAACACGTTCTGGATGGATTTGACATTGAATCTTGACTGATTTGCATGGGATCCAGGTCGTTCTGTTTATGCTCGTCGTGTGGTTGTATTTTGTCTGGAATCTGTAAATGTTTCACTTCTATAATACCCTTTGAGTGTCTTTGGAGGAAAGTGTCTGAATTGTGCCTCATTGGCATTCCCCGTATCGTTGGTTGTGGCACGGTGCCGCCCTTGTTTGCTAAACCCTCTTCTTCGTCTGAGTCAGACAACACCGGTGTGTCTACAAACCTCTTCCACGACGCTGAATAGGTCCGTGGCTTATTTTTACGTAAAACTAACACCTCATGTTGGCTTGTATCGCTCTTTGGCGACTGAGAAACCTTCAGCGAGTACATAGGTTGGCTAACAGACAGCGATCCGCTAAACGTCGGTTTATAGAATTTCACATCTGACGAAACACTCGTACAATCAGATTCATTGCATGTACACTGTGTATTGAGACTCCACTGGTTAAAATTGGCCCGCATATCGCCATGTAGCTTTTCTAAAATACCCATCAGTTGGGACCGTTCTCTAAAATGCCTTACCATATTACGATGTTCTTTTTCTTCAATCGATTGTAGTTTTAACGAAAGAACTCTTTCTTCGACTCGATTGTTGCGATTGGCCGTCAGGAGGTTGGACCCCATGCGGGTATTTTTGCCATTCCCTCTCATAGCTCTTCCAAAGATAGAACGAGCGGCCTCTGAATCTAGTTTTTTTTATAGTGTTGTTAGAGTGGTTGTTTATACAGCGAATCGACCGGATGAGCACAGCAAGGGTCACAAACTATAGGCCCCTTCCATGGGTTACCAACATACCCACTTTTTACTGGAGATACAACGATGACGGGAACAAACAGTACATGTAGTAGATGTATCAGTAGAGCAGCACATACAAATTTGACTGTGAATAGTGTTTCAGTTTGGACCAAGAAGTGACAGGGCTCCTCAGCAAGTGTCAGTGGCTTTTTATTGAGTGACGTGCGATACATATATCTTGAACACTGACGACGGTTGTTATATTGATCAGCATCATATGCTAATTTTGCTTCATGGAAATGATTCTTCTTTAGTCCAACAACCTTGAAGGAAGAGAAATCCAAGGTGTAGCTTGGGTTCTTCGTAGATTCAAGAAATCCAGGTTATAACAACACCAAAGTGAAGAAGAAATACACGGTGCAATATATAGGAACTTCGTATCAAGTCGGTGGACATTCCTTGTGTGATCAGTGACAACCAGGGATTGGTTTGGATATCCGGCCAACAGCATTACATCTGTTGTAATGTGACGTGCACCATTAGAAGGTAGACGCATTTTACCGTTGTGAGGCAACGCCGGTGGCAAAAAGAAATGTCTTGGTCTATGCACAAGTGGATTTACATGTGTACTACAGCGCAAAGAAACGCAAAATATGATATTAAATAGATAGACAAGTGTTTGTAAATAAATGAATTATAACTGAACCGAAATAAGTCAGTTCTCTTTCCATTGTGCATCATATGACGTACTAGTATTCTGGAGGTTATTTTGCACGAAATATTGACTTGTAATTATCTGTTGGATAGGAGAGTTTACATACACTGAACGGATCCAGAGGGGCAGAATGTTCTCACTCATGTTATAAACATAACAAAAGTCAGTAAGTTTGGTTAAAGGAAAGAGCCAGGCTTATCAGTAACTGTGTAAATCATAATTATTTGGCAAATATTTTAATAAAAACGTGCTGTGATATAAATCTTCACCTGAATCGACAACACTAGCACCATTTGAAAATCATGCGCCATTCAGAGGCTGGGCCGATTTTATGACAAGCAAGGCTAATTGCTTTACGGCAGGTATCCTGGGGCTAAAGTTTACGGGGTATATATTTAACATATTGATTGTTCACTGGGCAGGCGGACAACGGATTACCAGTGATACGGTAGATCCACTCTGTATAAACACAAAAACACAATAATTATCGGAATCGTGACTAGTAAGATACTAGTAGTCGATTGGCATGACTGCCTGATAGTCTCAAATCAGCGGCCTCGATCATCACCCAAGATAGGCTCGTCGGACATTGAAGTTAATTTAATAAAAAATATTAACTGTCAGTGTTAGAACCTCTCCTACTAATTGCACGAGATGGAACGTGTGATTCGCAGTGCAGTTTGACATTGATTAGCACCCCCACATCTACCTTCAATCAGCAATCTCCGGGATATTGATATCTTTATTGCGACCAAAGTACTGGCAGTTTTCATCGACTACTAACCCACTTCTAACCATCACGTGACTGCGTCATGGACACTTCTATATTTCGCCAACGGCATTCTGACGAGACGCGACAACGTGATAAATAATAATCCGAGCTCGTTGTTTTACTTTTAAATTTGACAAATTCCATTTTCATTTACTATGACGAGTTCAAACAACCTACTCCAGACCTAATCGGAGCCATATTTGGTCGGTCATATGTCCTCACGGTCTGTCTGGATCGGTCGCTTTTGAGTGACACATTGTTTTACGCAATGAACAATACACGGAGTTCATTGATTACAATGCTGCAAGAATTACAGATACGACAGTCCTCAAATATATTAACGATCCCGATTACAGTTTGTATTTCCAAAAAAATAAGGCGAGGTAGGCAGAATGTATATTCAGCACCAAACCGAGTCACAACCGATTGCTGCTGTCCTTCCTAAGAATGGGCTTACGCTTGACAGTGTATTGAATTCTTGTCAAACCCCGATGTGTTTCAATTTTGCAGCCAAGCAACCAGTATGCAGAGAAGGCATACACGAGCCGTAATGTATTGTAACTGCAACTCGAGGACGTTATGTGGTAACTTGTATAACAGTTGTCATGATTACCACTTTGGAAAGCGGTCAATCTTAAACTATTGAGAAAATTTTTGAAACGGAGCGATTAGCCTATTTTGTAACATAAAAAAGTAAACATATTACGTTTTTGTGACAAAGTCATACATACGATCTCAGACTATTGGTCTAAGATACGATCAGACAGAAACACAAAATTAAGCCCCTAATTCGCAAAAGCGAATTTTAGTCTTACTAATTGACCACACTTAGCATCTTGTCTACCAACGTTACAATCCTAGTTGCAGATATACCAGTAGTTACGGTGGAATACACATTACACTGTAATAAATTGACATAATATAGCTTATGATGTATTATTATTGAAAGTATTACACGAGTCTTGTAAATGTTATATTTGGAATACACACGAATATTGTATGGTCACCTTACAGACCTATTACCACAGTTATTGCCTACTTCATACACCTTGTTTAATGTTTGAGGTGACGACTCTGATTATAACGTCAATGTGAGGCAATCATGTTACAAAATGATGCACTACTTGTTTAGATAGAGGATAGAGATGAGGAAGACAAACTACCCACCTACCCACCTCGCTGGTTGGAATATTTTCAAGTTATTAGAAAGCTATATATAAATATATATATATGCCGAGAATTGGGCCTTTGTTTCAACAAGTGGAAATAAGGTCTTTATTTTAAGCTAAATTGTCTGGATAGCATCTACAATTTCAACATTCATTGTAAAAAATTGCAGAAACAACCGTAAACATCTCAAAACGATAAAGTTACCTTGCTTACTGGTATATTGCAGTAGTCAAGGGCGCCCTCACACATGCTATTGTTCCAACAAACTCAGCAGGGGGCAAGCCATTCGTACCCGTTCATCCCCGTTACTACGAGGCAGTAAGCTTGCAGATTATACCATACAAATTCAAGATGGGGGGGGGGGGCAATAATGAAATCTTGATACAATAACTGATACAAAGGGCATACTAGGCAGGAAATACCACAAGTACATGTCAACTTATCAGAAGAGTGGTCCATCCTAAACTACATATGGTTCCTGAAATATATCAGGAAAAATGATATACATTTTGTATCAAATTGAAACTATGCAATTAGGACTACAGATTATCTCATTCATGTACTACATTACATTCAAATGGCTATCAGATGTGTGACAAATAAGAAAACTCATCACTTTGTTCCACCTTTATTTTACAAGCAATTTATTGCTGAAAACACAGCTACAATGTTCAAAAATCTCACAAGCAGAGATCCCATGTAACAGGAACATTTGTACCATGGCAACAGCTTTAACAAAGTATTGACAATTACAAAAAAAAAAATCTGGTGAAAGTGAATGTACCTATTTAACATCAATGAAACACTTTAATGAAATCTAGCATTTGTTGTTGGGCTGAAGTAAAAATAAGAGTTGGCAGCTGAAAAATTCAATTGCTGATCAATAGGACACAGTATGCCACCCAGCCTACTTGCCTTGACAAGCTCAACAATAGTTCTCTCAGACCATTATAAAATAAATGAATACAATACGTAATTAACAAGTTCTACTGTTATGTAAATTAGCAAAAACAGGGCGCCTGTCGCCCTCAATGAGTACATCAATTTCACATTCAGCCTACCCAGAAAAGCATATCAGCTTGGACTAGTCTATGGTAGTTGACAGATGCCACTTTAGTGGAATTAGCAATTATACTGCCTACGCATAATTTCAATAGTGTATTGTTTAAATATCTGTTCAGAACTCTCCATTTTGGCTGGACAATCATGAATTCTGATATAAGATCAAATAAGCTAAGACCCTTTATAAGCACCAACTGTAGCTTCCCCTATATGCATGTGTGCGTGTGTGCGTGTGTGTGTGTGTGTGTATATATATATAGATATATATATATTGTAGAATTCCAGTATTCTTGTAACAGACTTTATGCAAAAATGCTAATGCTTTGTGAGAGACTAGAAATCATGATTTGAATAGATTGTCTGGTGGCAAAATACACTATAGCATCAGTCTATTGTGTTAGTGAATGTATTCTTCAATATGATGCTTTGGTTGTTCTGCAACAGCAACAAATTTTAGCAGATTTGTATATAAAATATTGCACTGGGTACTAAAGTTCTTTCATAGTATAAACTTGTACAGCAAAACAGGAGATGACTTATCAAGTTGGAAGGGGAGGGGAAGTAACTGCAAACATTTTCAAAAGAAACTAAATTTTCTTTTAATTTAACCCCTTAATGTGTACTGTGATATCAATCTTATTTTCATGAACTAGAAATGAATCTACTTTAAATCTAAATATAAATTTAAAAAAAAACATGGTTTAAATTTCAAATTCATTCATGCTGTCTGGAAGAGAAAGCTGAAATGTTTCTTCATTTTCAAGTACCTAGTAAAAAAAATCAGATCAAACAGGCTATTAATATTTACAGAAATAATATTTCTGTTTCACAAAAAAAAATGCAAAAAAAAATGGTGTCACATGGTTGATGCCTTACAACGATTCCAACGATACAACTACTTTGCAGTTAATCAAGGTAGTTATGCATGTGTGTGTGGTGGGGGGGGGGGTGGTGGTGGGGGGGGGGTGAACGAGGAATGAGTGACTGTTTAGTCAGTTTTATGCATTGGAAAACAACTGCATAGTGGCAGCTAGTACGGTATGGCAAGATTTCCTGATTGTAGCTTGACCAAATAGGACCTCCCTTCTATCACCTGGATGCAATATTCATACAAATAATATGTAAAATAAAACTAACATAGATGGCGCCATCACTCGATAATTAAGCTATGTACAAATAAGCAATGATGTCATTCTATCAACACGCAGTAAGCAAGCATCACATACAACAAGAAGTGTAAAATTACAGATTTTTGGAATATCAGACATTTTTTGAATCTAGTCTCCCCAAAATTCGTTACTCGTTCCCATCAATAAATTCAAGAAAAAACAAAATGTTGCAAATTTCAACAAATGAAACAGCAAATTTAGTAAAATAGACTGTCAGTGAAAATTTTTAAGAATACTCTTATTCAATTTATGGCCATGCACATTTTCTCAGTTCATTTCAGGTGAAAAAAAAAAAATCATTATCAATTTTAGCACAAGTTGTAATTCCCACTATCAGTTGATTCAACCGAATTTTAAAAACTAAATCTTACTTATAAATACCTAATATCTTGAGTTGCCTTAAAAAGTCACTTTTTTCAATATTTTAGCTGCAGGCAGCTCACACACTTTATGCTTTTCAAGGAAATTTACTTAATTATACAGTCTACCTATGATGTATTTATTTGAAAACTACAGCAACACCAAGAAATCCCTTGTTTTAAGGAGAATTCATTCTGTAAGAGGGGTGGCTGGATAAACATGTGCAAGGTACTATAATGGACATCAAACACATAAAGCTGTGATACTTTTTTTACACTAAATCTGCATCATCAGACACTGACTCATTCTGAATAAATCTCCACAACTGTCCTTCATCTCCATCGGAATCATCATCTTCTTCTGCAATTCCAAGATTACTTTCAATATCATATTTTCTCTCTCTCATAACTATTTCGACGTCCCTCCACATTGACTCTTCTTCATCCAATGGCAAAGTAAGAGTTCTTATGAAAACAGAATCAGATTTATGACACATATCTTTGAAATTTTTGGTAGAATGTTTTACGACACACTGACTAAGATCTGGTAATTTACGATGAGATTGACTACTTCTTCGGCAATCTAAGTAGTGATGATGGAGTGGTTTAGAACGTTTCTGTGAACAAAGAAAATAATTATGAGAGTTATTGTAAAAGTACACAGTTTAGACATCACCAACTCAATACACAACATTATGATGTTGATTTCTAGACTGTAAAAAGTGACTTCAAGTATTAAATGTCCAATTGGATCAACATCTTGGCTAGTGGCATAAACATGAAAAAAACATAAATTTGCTTTGATGATATTTTAAATAGACCAAATTGCGAGGTTGTACTCAGAAAATCTTTATTAACATTTTTTTTGTATTTCTAAACACCACTGGACATAGATGTGATTCTGGACATGTCACTGCGGTTATTTTGACACGTTTTATATGTATTAGAAAGGGTTGTGTAGCTATCTTCCTGTCATAATGGCTAATTAATGCCAACCAAGTCGCACATAAGTACTTGCTTAACTAGCTTAACCAAGGATTCCCTGAGGTTGCAATCATGAATAGATGATGTCATTGTCTAAACCATACCATTAAAACTTTAAAATAACAAGTCATTGTCAATGACACGTGCCCGTTCCGTTCATATTTGAGTGACATATACATTCAAAGCAGATCATGACCGAAATGCACCTGCATATGTACAACACATTGTACTAAATCTGAACAAAA